AAAGGCGGTAATCAGTCCACACTCCAGCCAGATGAGCAGACCACAAGGCCCTGAACCATCCTGCGAAATCTGTGACCCGATGATCGGCCATGAGTGGCGAGGTTGTGGATTGGGTTCCGCTGCTGTCAGGCACGAAGCCATGCCTGAAGGTGTGATGAGAACAGATGGTGCTTGTACTTGGTTCATGCGGAGGGCTAAAGGGCTACAGCTGCAAGGCACTTTGCATCCGCGTTCTGGAGGTTTGCCATCCATCCCGCGCCGTGTCTGAAACACTGAGCCTGACTCTGCCAGCTGTGGATTTTGTTCCCATTCCAGGTCGGGCCTGGCTTCTGCTGCATCTCCAGGATGGCCTTTGATGGGACTGGCGCCCCGGCAAAGGCTGCGAATCGTGGCCACGTTGTCTACAACACCGCCCAGGCTTCGTTGCACTGAGGGTCACTGCGGGTTTAGCGCGCACGTTTGGGAGGCTGCGATCTGCTGAGCTAAAGGCCTGCCTTCTGTCCTTGCTGATGCAGAAGACGCCCGTGTCTGTGTTCTTGGTGGTGCCACAAGGCCCATGGCAGCGTGGCGGTGCTTACCCCCGCACGCTGCCGCCATGGCTGCTGCGGCTGCAGAGACAGTGGCGCCGCTTGCGGGTGCTGCGCTCAAGGGATTGGGGGCCTGGGACGGCGCTCCTGCGAGCGGTAGAGGTGGTGAAGGAGCCCAGCGCCTGGATTCTCGCAGTGGACGACGATCACTGCTACCATCCGGAGCTGGTCACGAACTTGCTGCGCTTTGCGGCAGGCACTCCTGGAACGGCGGTTGCTTCGCATGGCTGGCTCGCCTTAGATGAGGACACTGCCTCTCGCGCAGTCGCAGCTGCAGGGCCGGCTTTGGCACGGAATATCCGTGCCGGCAACACGGCCGCAGGTCCCATTCTGTGCCACTTCCTGGGGCTCCTGGTGCAGCGCGCTATGCTGGATGGCTTGCATGCGCCGCGTCGGGTTTCCGCGTGCAGCGAGCACAACGACATCTGGCTGTCCGCGCATTTGGCCCGCCGGCGCATTCGCCGGGCCATGGTGTCGGATCCGTTGGGTGCCAAAAGCCTTGCAACTCATCGCAAGCGGGGCCTCTCATTGACACGTCGCCGACGTAGAAAGCCTGAGGCCGACTGTTTGATGGAGTTTCATGAGATCTATGGTGACACCATTTGGAAGCCTTTGCCCCGGATGGCTCTTTGTGCGCCAGTGCTGCCAACCGTGCTGGAACAGCTTGCTGCTGAAGGACAGGTTGTACATTCAGCTTACACTTGCGCGCTGTCATCAAAGAGTTTGCCTCCGAGCTCTGATGTCAGGCAAGCTACTGAGTCCGTGGTCGTTTCATTTCCATGGGCAGACGTGACATGTACGGAGGCGCGTGCCGTGCTGGCAGCCTGCAGAGCATTCGCTGCTCAGCCAGGTGTTGCTTCAGGAGCGGGAGGCGTGGCCATCCGGAACAATTGAGATGCCCAGACAGGGAGATTGTAGGCTCTCCGTTTTATTCGGTGCCAACTTGCCAACTCATTCTAGGTGTTTTTCCTTGTGAAGGCCTCCACCATCATCGTTCTCCCAGCGGAGACCTTCAACAGTTCGCGAAGGGCTGCTGTGCAGGTGCCCAGGCAGCATGCAAAGCTGGAATGAGCCCCACGATGTGCTGTGGGTCAAAAATAGGTAAAACCTCGGTCTCCTGCTGGTTTAATATGGACCCGTACCCATATATTTCTAGGGACGCCCGGCCGGGCCAGAAAGCGACAAGGTCCATTCTGATCGGAAAACGGCTTCGAACCGAGGTGGTAGGTGCGCTGCTGTCGTGTCTTCTTTTTGGAGACAGTGCCGGATTTTGTGAGCGAGATGGCTGGCGAGCAGTCAGCGTGAAGGCATTTCAGCTTAAATATGGATGAGTGCCCAATTTATTTAGTGAAATGAAGGCCGCAGGCATTCATGGTTTGAGGCTCCTTGTGTAATTATGTGTTTCCTGTGTTGATAAGGCCCTTGCATGCTTCAACAGCTGCTTGGCTGAAGAGCAGGTTTTTGTGCGCTGGCTCGTGCTTAGACCTGTTCAGTGCGGTGCTGTTTGCATGCGAGGTGGCGAACAAGGCTTGCATACAATCTACAGCTGCACAAAGCACCAGGACCCTTGGGAGACTAACTCCACCGGATGGCGACGGCAAAATGCTTGCACCCTGAGCGCTTGCTTGGTCGCAGTTGCATTGCTTGGCAGAGTGGTCGGTTTCGGGCAACGTATTTTCCATACAACCCTTTGCATCCATTCAGCCGAAGGAGTACATGCAACACTCTTACTTCCCGGCAGAGCTAAGTAAGTTAATTTGCTTACCAAACTAATTCAAATACATTGTTATGTTCCATAGCCTGATCAGCTACTGTTACTTGTTTACTAAGCTACTTGGCTATCCAGTAGCTTTTCGACAAACTGAGAAGCCAGTTCGGTAGGCACCTAATTAGAAAAGAAACTGATGGGCTACTTGGCTTGCACTCAGGCTTGATCAACCTGCTTCAATGCTTCCAGCACGAGCCAGAGCCTGTGTATCACGTGGGTCCCGTGGGTTGCAATTCCTTTGCTTTCCCTGGGCTTAAGTCTTCCCTGAGGCTCAGCACCTGGTGAACTTTTGCAAGGCCTGGGTTTCCCAGCAGGCACGAGCACGCTCTGCGGCACTGCGTGCTGAGCGGCCAGGCGTCGTGGCTGGTCGTCGCGGGTTTGAGGTGTGGTGGGGAAGTGTTCATGTGGGCTTGTTTCTTGAGGGGACCCTTTTCAGGTTTGCTTAAGGGAAGCCAAGAGGACAACATTCTGTTGAGGCCCGTGTGCAGCGCACTTGTGCAATGATTGACAGCAGAGCCCTTCATGGCCGGTGGATTTGGCCCAAAACCGGTAATTCAAAGTGCGGCCCCCGTCCGCCAAACGCATTTGGTGTTTGCGTGGGTGACTGTGTGCCGCACATGGCAGAGGATGAAGTGGTGCGGGATTTCAAGAAGAAGCTGTCTCAGGCTGGCTCGCCCCATGTTGCTGCCCTTGGCTTGCCGGAGGTGGTGCCGGAGAACCCCCGCTCCTCGAGTTTGCCGGGTCTGCGGGGCGAGCTGCTCTATCCGGAGGTGGGCCGGGCAAGGGACATCGCCCAGCCCGGCGGCTTCCGTCGAGAGCACGTGCTGCGGCAAGCGCCCAACGAGGCAGCAGAGCAGCCGCTGCTCAGCAGCTTGTTGGACCCACGCCTGCGGAGATACTTTGAGCCGCAGGATGAAGAGGTCACCTCAGATTCCATCATCTCAACGACCAGGGGCGCCTCGAACCTGTCCACTGTTTTGGTGATTTTGAAATCCACGATCGGTGGCACTCTGGTGATTATCCCCGGGGCCTTCGCGACCACGGGCTTGCTGCTAGCCCCACTCATTTTGCTCTTTGTGGGTGGGGTGGAAATCTACTGCATGGTCCTGCTTGTGCAGTGCGTTCGCTCGCTTGGGGGTGGCTCCTATGGCGAAATCGCCAGGCAATCCATGGGTGCTGTGGGCATGTGGGCCGTTGATCTCAGCATCCTACTGTCGCAAACGGGCTTTGTTTGCGCCGAAATGCTGTATGTGGCCAAGAATTGCAGTGGAGCAGCTGCCAGATACGGCATCAGGTCGTCCATAGTATCTGAGACGGGCATCCTGCTGCTTCAGCTGGTAGTGGTGATTCCCATGTCTTGGATCCGACAGCTGAAGTACTTCCAATTTTCAAACTTCATTGCCAACGCCACCGTGTTGCTGGCCCTTGGCGTGCTTCTGAGCTACTCTACGGTGGGCTTGGCGGATGAGGGCCCCGGAGAGAACATTCACGCCGCTGGCTCTGGCTGGATGATTTTCGCGGGCACCGTGGTTTTTTCTTTTGAGTGCATCAATTTTGTGATCCCGATGTATGATGCGCATGAGAACAAGGAGACGTTCGCACCCATCCTGGTGATGACTTTGCTGGGTGTCTGCGGCTTGTTCATTCTGTTTGGTGCTGTGAACTACGGCTACTACGGCGAGGACACAAAGCCTGTGATCACTCTGAACTTGCCAGAGACCTCGCAGACGGGCCGCATAGTGCCCTTTGCTTTTGCGCTGGCCTCACTCTTCAATGTGCCCTTGTTTCTTTTTCCAGCTGCGATTTACTTGGAAGCGCAGCTCCTCAGCAAAGTGCCATCTTCTTCTCAGGAATGGAAGGTCAGAGGAATCAGAACCTTGCTGATTCTATTGTGTACCTGTATCGCGCTTTTGGGCAAGGATCGGATCGATGCATTCATCTCTCTCATTGGATCCGTCTGCTGCGTGCCGCTGGCTTTCATCTTTCCAGTGATTTGCCATGCTCAGGTGTGCAGCCAGAGCCGGGCAGTGAAGATCATGAACGGCGGCGTCTTTTTGCTAGGGCTGATCCTTTTCGTGTACACCTCGTATTCGTCAATCAAGCAGCTCGCAAGTGGCACGGCTTGAGCCACACTCAAAACGGCTTGGGCTGACAGAATGCAATGTCTGTGGGGAGAAAAGGGCCTTTGAGTGCGTCTGCAGTCCTGCATTGGCCGCGGAGGTTTCTGAGCCGGATTGAATGCAACATCGATTCATGTTCCAGATGTTCGTGCTGGCATAGGTTTTTGATAGTTGTGTGACCGGCACGCTAGAGCTTCCTTGGCCAGTCTTTATACCACCCTGTCCACCACTGGATAGGCGGTGGACACTTGGTACCTTGCCATTGGTTGGCACATGGTTGCGCTCATGAAAACGAGATTTGGAGACATTTGGTGACACAACAATCTCTCAGCGACCAATTTTGTGCGAAAACCCAAATTTCCAGACCCTAACGAGCGGGAGTTCCATTCAAACCCTTTGCCGCGGCTCGGGGCCCGGGGTCAGGCGGAGCCATGCCTGGCTTCAGGCCAGAACCAGATTCAGGTGAATCGTGGGGTCTGGAAGGGACTTTGGGTAAACCTGAAGCCCTCGAGCATACCTCCTGGTTTGGGCTTTTTGGGCGCCCCTCAGCTTCCGCTTCTCGCACAGCTTGCTTGCGGTGCTGAAACGTGCCTTTCTTTACAACTCAAGCAGCCGTATCAGGCTCAAAGCACAGGTGACAGGCAGAGCTCTTAGGAGTCTTGAAGGCAAACCGTAGCCCAGCTACCTCTTCCACATTTGTTTCCTTTGCCTCATTTCAAACTTTTCATAAGGAGTTCGGCTGGCTGGTTGAATCACGTCGTGAAACACGCCGTTGCTTTCCACATGGCTTCCAGATGCGGCCGTCAAGGGCTCATGGTCGCTTTGGCACCGGCTTTTGAAGGTAGCGGTGGCACCGAGGTTGCGACGTCAAGTTGGGCTTGATTGGCGGTCTCCGGGGCTTCGGCTTCTACGCTCGGGCCCACCAGCGGCGCTGCCAGGCAGTTTTTTTTTTGGGGGGGTCATTGGTGCCTGCAGACACTTTGTTTGGTGTGTGTGTGAGTGGACAGCAGAAAGGGATGAAGTCTGCAGCTGTTTGTCAGCCAAGTTCTGAGTGTTGCTGGCTGGACAACTGCAAGCTTCGCAGGATTTGTTGAGATAGCTTAAAGAAAAACTCACATAGCACCCACCTCAGCCGCACAATGGCGGACGTGGATGAATGCACCATGGCCCAAGCCTGCTGGGCATCCTTGACGCTTGCGCTGTTGGAGAAGGACGCGGCAGCCGTTCGAGCAGTCGAAGTCTATGTTGCCCACTTACTAGTACTAGTCCTAGTGCTGCTACTGCTACTGCTTACTGCTGCTGCTGCTGCTACTACTATGACTAGTACCACCGGTCGCGCCGGCAAAGCTGGTGCGCGGACATTTCAAGAATTCAAGAACTGTAGCTCGCTTTTTGCTTTCATTGGTTCTTTCTTTATTTTTTTCCTCTCTTTCTGTCTGTCTGACTGTCTGTCTGTCTTTCTTTCTTTCTTTCTTTCTTTCTTTCTATTTTTGCTCTCTCTTCCGCTCTTTCTCTTTCTATCTAGCCATCTATCTATCTGCCTATGTATGTATCTACCTATGTATCTATCTATCTACCTACCTTTGCATCCATCTGCCAATCAACAGTCTATCTGTTTGTCCGTCTATTTGTCCATTTGCGCCTTCTATCTATCTAATCCATCAATCTATCTAATCTTGCTTTCCATGTGTTTATCTATCGCTCTCCAACTTTCTAGGCGTGCTTCTAACCTCTCTTTCTGTTTGTTCTTTCTACCCATGGAGTCTCACTATCTATTTGTCTATCTTCTCCTATCTTATCTTATCTGATCTACCCTTGTCTCATCTTATCCCGTCTGTTCTATCTATCTCATTTGTCTATCTCATTTGTCTATCTATCTATCTATCTATCTATCTATCTATCTATCTATTTAGGTATCTCATCTGTCTATCTATCTATTTAGGCATCTATCTATCTGCTTCTCTATCCAATCGCACTTCTTATTCGTGCATTTATCTTGCTATCTTTCTGTTGGTTTCTCTATCCATTTGTTGCCTTGGTGCACAGCAATGTTTGTATTTGTCTAGATATCTGTCCGTCTGTGTGTCGATCGATCGCCTAGCCATCTACATTTGTACGATCCATCTATATCTAATCTTTCTCTTTCCAGATATCCAATCTCACTTTTCATCTGTCCATTTTCCCATCTAGTCCATCCATCCATCCATCCGTCCGTCCGTCCGTTCGTCCGTCCGTCCGTCCAGCCTTCCATCCGTCCATCCGTCCATCCGTCCCGCCCATCCGTCCATCCGTCCATCCATCCATCCATCCATCCATTCATCCATAACTATATATCTCTATCTACCATTTGCATCTCTATCCCATCCCTATCTCTATCCCTATCCCTATCTCTATATCTATCTCTTTCTATCTATTTATCTATCTAAATCTATCTATCTATCTGTCTATCTATCCATCCATCTATCTAATCTAATGTAATATAATATAATATAATATAATATAATCTATCTATCTATCTATCTATCTATCTATCTATCTAATCCCACTTTCGATATATCTATTCGTCTAGCTATCTATCGATCTATCATCTATCTTCTGAAAGCGCTGCGCCTGCCACACAAACCGCACCTGACCTCGCGAAAGTGTTGCTGCTACTGCTCCTGCTACTGCTGCTGCTTCTGCTGCTGCTGCTGCTGCTATTGCTACTGCTACTGGTACTGCTATTGCCGCTGCGACTTGTGCTGCTAACGCTACTGCTGCTGCTGGTGTTGCTGTTCTTGCTATTGCTGCTGTCGCTGCTGTGCTACCGACACCGCCACAACCCTACTTGGCTTTGCGTGGATTGTCAGGGTGGTTAAAACCTTTGGTTCCGGCGCTGCTCATCGGTTTCGTTTAAACCCGTGGCCATTTCCTGCAGGACTGCCCCTCGAGGGAACAGGAAACTCCTGTGGAGGAGCAAGGTGGGTTTTTTGTGCTCCCGAGTGTGCATGGATGCATGCACCTGCAGCAGTCTCCTACTTTAGCG